CACACACACACACACACACACACACACACACGCGCACACACTCACACACACACACTCAAACGCACAAACACATTCAGACATACGCATACACGTTCACACAATATGTGGCCTGTTCTCTGTCGAGTTTGCAGTACTATCAATTTACAAAAATGCATACATATTATGCGTGTAATACGAGTGTACTAAAAAACAACGGGTTGGTTGTCTTCATAACATTATGTAGATTGTATGGAACTATGCATGCGTACGTGGAATGATAATGTGGAAACTACGTATTTATGATCTATACCATGTGGCAACTATTTATGGTCTCTCTATACTTTGCACATGCTAATTAATGCAAATGTACCGAGGCTTCTTAAGAGTTATAATATAATCATCGTTACTAACTTTCTTTTGGTAATAAGTTATAAACACGAACTATCGCTCGCGGGCCACAAATAAATAGAGAGATTAATGATAATAATAATACTATATTAATAATAATAGAAGAAGAAGAAGAAGGAGAAGAAGAAATAATGTATAATAATCATCATAATAGTAATAGAAGTACATAAGTAGTAGAAGTAGTTGTAGTAGTAGTAGTAGTAGTAGTAGTAGTAGTAGTAGTAGTAGTAGTAGTAGAAGTAGAAGTAGTAGTAGTAATAGTAATTATTATAATAAAACTGTAACAATAATAATCATAATATGTCGAACTGGTTTCACATAAACCTGTGTTACTTCTATAGACTTGCGCGACGAAGCTGGGCACGCGTGCAAGGCGAGCCTTGCGTAATAGTAATACTAATACTAACACCAGAGAGTCTGTATACTAGCGTAATTCTAAGCTCTCAGATGGTAATACTGTAATACATGTACACAGTAAGAATTGGCCGTGCCGCGTAGTTTATCTTCCTCTAGTCTGCACCTGATCTGACCTACTTCAGTAACTTCCGGGTTCAGCCCTTCTGTGATCCCGTGTCCCTCTCCCGCCCATCGATAAAAGAAGAGGCCGCATGCCGCCTACAAGCAAGCATTCTGTGCTGTGTGTCGTCCGTCGTCCCTAGAGGACTGGAGGACACTCGCGCTTGACTGCGGACATTTTTCACCGCCTCCTCCTCCTCCTCCTCCTC